GCATTTAATAAGGACAGGAATCAACTGTTTAATTTGGCTTATGTTGTAATTTTAAAACCTAAACTTCTTATGTGAGAGCTGAAGTTGCATTTAGTCCATGAGCAAACATGCAGTTGTTTTTCTGTCATGCCTTCCAGTGAATCTAATTTCCTGTTCAAAGTGATTAATATTATTCAAGGGGCTAATTCTGAAATGTTACTGGTTTTGTTGAACACAGGAGGCTAATGGATGAATACTAAAGAGAAAGGGACAATGATTCATGCCACTTGTTTGGTTGCTTCATCTTTTGTTGTTTAGCAACCCAGATCAGTCAGAGAGCTACTAGAAGTTTCATTAGGCAGCTTGTAACTCACTCAAGATTATAGGGATCAAGACAATACATTTCAGCGTTTCTTTTCTAGGCCATGATCTACAAGAACTATGTATTTTCAGTCAGTTTTATTGAGAAATTATTAACCACTTTTATGCTGTTTCAAATAAACTGCTGAAATACCATTCACATATTACTGTGTGTAGTCAGCTCATTTAGATAGTGATGGAAAATTCTCTATTCCTATCAGTTTGGCATTAATCAGTTCAAAAGATACTTTATATTATTCAGTAAGTAAAAACAGTTGGTATTTGCCAATTCTGAAATTTTCAGTGGAACAATATCCAACAGGTTGCCTGCAACTGCAGCATGAAAATTAAATAAAGGCAAAAAGAGATGTATTGGTAAAGGATATTAAAAATTAATCCTTTAGGACTCAAAGGAATCACTAAATTGATTAGATTAGACTACTTATATTTTTATGAATCAATAATTGTTATGGAATCATCAAATATGTATGTGTTCTTATGTGCAATTGAACCACTGTCTTGTAATTTATACTAAAATGCATCAAAAAAATGCTCGAAGAATCTTCTCGTCTCAACATGCAGCTCACACTGGAGCTTTTCCTCAAGTCCTGTCACTGGTCACAAGAGTGAAGAGATCACTACTTGCCCCTCCACTTCTCCTCATGAAGATGTTGAAGACCACAGTGAGGTTCTCCCCTCAGTCCCATCTGCTCCAGGCTAAACAAGCTGAGTGACCTCAGCCATTCTTCATACGGCTTCCCCTCAAGGCCCTTCACCATCTTCATTGCCGTCCTTTGGACACTCTCTAAGAGCTTAATATCTTTCTTACATTGTGGTTCCTGAAAGTGCACATAATATTCAAGGTGAGGCTGCACCAGTACAGAGCAGAGCGGGACAATCCCCTCCCTGGGGGCAAAGCTGGCGATGCTTTGCCTGATGGCCCCTCCTGGCTGCCAGGGCACTGCTGACTCATATTCAACTTGCCATCAACCAGGACCCTTTCCACAGCACTTCTCTCCAGCCTCTCATTTCCTGGTCTATGAACATAAGCAGCTGCAGAATCCAGCACTTCCCCTGTTGAACTTCTTATGGTTGGTGATTGCCCATCTCTCTAATTTGTCGAGGTCTCTCTGTAGGGCCTCTCTGCTCTTGAGGGAGTCAATAGCTCCTCCCAGTTTTGTGTCATCTTCAAACTTGCTCAGTATTCCTTTGAGTCCCATGTCCGAGTAATTTATGACGATGTTGAAGAGAACTGGGCTGAAAATGTGTTCCTCAACAATTTATTTTTTTCACCGATGCCTGGAATATCATAGGAATTGCAATAATACAAATAAATAAAAAAAGAGAATTTTCCATATTGGAAGAGTTTTGGTTAATTGTGTCTACAGCAGTGTATGTGCAAACTGTAAGAATGGTTACTTATCAGTATGATAAGTATCAGCATGATACTTATCAGCATAAAAAGTCCATAAAAATGTAATCAGATTAGAACAGAATAAGGTATTACAGCAATAACTCAAACATTTGTCTGAGGCAGTAAGAGATGCTGTATGTTTTGTATATGGTGTATACAAGAATTTTTAGAGTTCTGTAATTTAACATGACATGTGAAGATTTTTTCAGCTTCTGCTAAGATCATTTTCATTTTAGTTTTTCTTTTTTATTCTGCTTTTTCATCTTTGTCCCCCCAATTTACATTCTTATTGTTATTAATATTCTCTTTGACTGTTTTTCCAGTATTATACAGCTTGTATGTATGCATAAACAAGCAAAAATACAATGCCTGTAAGTGAACTTGTTTGCCAGTGTTCCATCTCACAAATTCAGAACATAATGTTTTGGTATGGAAATTTAAAATAATAAAAAAAACCTTATGAGAAACCTTTGTTTTTTCAAATGAGAAGACATAGTGCTTGTGTGGCAGTGGCAGAACTGAATCATTTGGGTTCCAATATTTGAAGCATTGTTTTCTACTACAATAAAAAAAATACAATGAAGTACAAACTGAATAACATGTCATATTATCTATGTATAAGAAACTCACATTTGAGTTTTTAATGTGTGAATGACCCAGCACATAAATAACATACATTTCCCTCTAAAAAGTCTGTTGATTTTTGTGCTCACAATAAGCGATTATTTTATGCTGCAGATTAAAACCAAGTTAGAAAGCCTCACTTCCCAATGGAAATACTGCTGATCATGCTCTGAAGTTTCACTGGAATGAGTTGTAGACTAATATTGAATAAGAATATTAGCTTTCCTAAAATATAAAAATATAAAATGCAGTTCACAGTGGCACCGAAGAGGTGGGAATTGTTTCATGTATCCATCTGATCATGTTGATGGACTGAGAAAGTTTCTTCCAGTCAAATTCTAGCAAATTATCTTACTCCTTAAAGCATCAGTGCGGTGTTAGGCACGTCCTCATGGAATCATTCGGCAAAGTGGCTAAAGAAGGATCTAATAATCTGTGTGGATCTGTAGGAGGCAAACTTTGAAAGACATGGAACAAGCACTTTGGCAAATCTGTTTTAATTACTGGTTTATACAGTGTAATCTGTCTATGCAAAATCTCCAGGATGTTAAGATTGCATCTTCTGTTAAATTAAGTACAGACACTTTTGTTTGATTGTGAGTAGAAAAAAGCCCACTTGTCTGCACCATGAATGGGAATATATAGAATCATAGAAGCATTTAGGTTAGAAAAGAGCTTCAAGATTATTGAGTCTAACTATGAACCTGAGACTGCCCAGCCATAAGTCAAATGTTTAGGCTTTATGTTCTGGTTTTGTTATTTACCACCTAAACATTAGCAAGTATTTTGGAGTTCTTGGTTCTAAGTAGTGTTTAGGTACAATGATAAATGGCCCTATTTAAAATACAAAGAGAGACAGAGTAGAGAGAATATTATCCTAGACCCTCACCATTTATCCAGTCCTAAAGTGGATTTCTGTATTGCAGAGTGAATTTCATTGAATAACATTGATTTCCTATTTCAATAAAGGGAACTGTCATCCAAAAGGTAGATGAAATATTAAGGGTCTACTAGCTAATTAGATACATAGATAGGTATATGCACAGATAAATACTGTGCAAGTAAAAAAAAAACCAAAACCCACTATTTTCTTATACAGGCTGTATTTAATTTTGAAAACTAAATAACTGTTGGTTTAATTTTATTTATGTGGAAAATAAAACAAAATTCTTTTTAGATTTTAAGAACTATGGGGGAAAATCCATTTTTACAGTGCTAATATATTCTGTATAACCATTGATTGCATATGAAAACACGCAATCTATTTTATGCCCCGGTAATTCTGAAACACCTGAAGTCTATTCCCTCCACACACCACCTGAAAATTCATAAGACTAAGCATCCCTTTAGGGCTGGGAATGTATTTGTCAATTGCAGCCTAGAGGGATTGTAACTAGCACTATAAAGCCCTGATGATAGTTTTATAATGGAAAGCCTGAAACAACTTCAAGTACCACCTCGTTAATGTGATTCTGTAATACATAACAGTCTAATTTGAAAATAAGAGTCGGTTATCGAGGAATACATTTGTGAAGTTAATATTGTTACCCTCTTAATTTTCCTCTTCTCTTGGACTGGAATTACAGTTTTCTTTCAAGTAAAATCCACTGATGAGACACCTAATGGTTTTCTACTTTAATTTTGATGTTCTGATTGTTTTACAGTTGTCCCCCATTGTCTTTATGTAAACCCCCTTTCAGAATCCTTGCAGTGAAATCGTTATGCTCATCATAGTCCTGATGTCCAAACTCTTCCAATTGCATTAGCCTCTTCATAAATTGATCGGGAAGTGCATTGGGCAGGAAATGGCTATCAACACGGCTTACATTAAGAATGGAGCTCCAAATGTGTTGTTTGTCATCTCTCTGAGTATACATAAATGCTTGCAGCCCTGTCAGTTCCTTAAAAGTATTTTGAGTCTTACTAGACACGGACAGTGTTGCCATGGAGCTGTGCTGAGATTTCACAGCAAAGATGAAACTGATTTCCAGATCATAGCTGAGTTAGGAAATGGGGAGAAAATGAAAATGAGCAAACAGAATTCTAAACTGGAAGTTAGGGTTTTTGATGGGAAAAGTATAATTAAGAATTCAGAATGGAGATTATTCTTTCAAGAAAAAGAAATCAAGTGTTATACTGCATTACTGTCTTTTGTGTACAAACAATGAGGTCTTTTAATATATGAATCTCCCTATGTATCTATCTTGAAATTGTGCCTGTATAGAGAACAAAAGTTCTGTAATTGCTTCATTAGCCAGCACCTAGCAGTTATGTTTCCCAAAGCAATTTGCAGCATCCTCTTCCTTTCATTGTCACATTTGATGATTTTAGAATTTGCTCTGAAGACACGACAGTGTCCTTATGTGTGAATTTCAGGGTATAAGCCAGTACATTCAATAATACCTGTTAAGAAACTTAATCAGAATCTAGCTGACAAATGATATAATCGATCCATGGTAGAACTGCATAATAAACAGAAGATTGTGCTTTCTGTACTAGTTAATGTCCCATGAATTCCTGCTTTACTTGAAATGTATCATTAAAAACTTTTGTTATTCTTGTACTGTTGACATTGTATGATACTTTAACGTATGAAATCCAATTGTATGATTTCTCTTACTAGTGGCTAGCATTCAGAAGCTTCCTGCTGCATCTGTTTTAACCGACATCAATTTCCCCATGAAAGGAAGAAAAGGAATGGTTGATTGGGCACGAAACTCAGAAGACAGGGTTGTCATTCCAAAAAATATCTTCACTCCTATGTCAACAGGTAAAGAAGCATATCAGCATGTTGATTTTTTTGTTAGCTTTAGCAAGGAGACTCAGAATCTTTGTCTCATAGGACCACTTTGTCTCATAACCACTCATAGGAGTGGTTATTTTTTCCATCTTCAAAAGGAATCCAGTACCCGTAGTTTATCCTAGGGGGAAATGATGGGGTATTATTTCAGCACATTGAACAAAAAGTGCTACAGAAATCCTAGAGATTACTTTCTACACCAAAGAGACAGTGCTTTGCTTAGTTATTGTGCACAGGATTTGATCTGTGGTGGTACGAGGTGAGCTGAAGTGCAGCTCTGCTGAACCCCTTGAAGCTTCTTCATTCCAGCAGACTGAGTCATTCCAATCCAGCTCTTACCAAAGGATGCTCAGCAGGCAAATTACTCTAACTTCAGGTACAATTTACAAATACCTTGCAGTACAGATCTCTGACATCAGAGAATTCACTAGGCATTAAAGACATTCTTGGAGAATACTTAATTATAAAGGTAAATGAACTACCATGGATGTTGGTATACAATGATGGATTTTTTGAAAATGTGATTTTCAATGGTTTAAATCTTTTGATATGTTCCTGGCAATGCTACATCTTTATGAGAGACTTCCAGGATATAATTCAAAATTATGCTGGTTTATTTAAAATAAAACTCATATTACAGAGATAAATGGTATTCACAGTTCTCTATGATGATGAAAGCTTGGGAGAGTTTTAAAATCTTTTTTCCTTACTCTTTTCAGAACTAGATGAATCAACTGTATTTGTACTTGGAGCAGTGCTATACAAAAATTTAGAACTCATTTTGCCCACTTTGAGGTAAGAAATTTCATAAATACGGTATGAATTAAACTATTTCAGAATCATAACCATACTGCATGTAAGGATAAAAGCAGACAGCCAAGACTGCCTTTGCACGTTAGTACTATTGGATTTTTTCCTGATATTTAAAATGTATATGCATATATTCATCTTTCCTTCATACTTAGTCACTTATATGATGCAAATAACCTTTTTTTTTTTCAAATTGGCTTAATTTACATTTTATGTTATCTATATTAAGCTTAATTACAGAAATGTTTTATTAGAAGTATACACACTGATGTACATTAATGCCCAGGCCTCTTATACTTGTGCTTCAATCTACTGTTTGTCCTGTTAGTACAAATGATCTTGTAACGACATCATGACTTGATGTACTAAGGTTGTCTGCTCTCTTTCTACAAAATTCTCTAGCAGTAGTTTTCCAAGTACTTTTTCGATGTAAGCTGTATTCAGAATGGACAGCAGAGCTGTAGAGAGGATCCATTTTGGAAAGAAGACACACACATGTGCAGAGTAGCTGAAGTATGTCAGTTTTGAGAGCCATACACATACATAAAGAAATAGGAGAGCCTCGTGTTTCACCTTTTCCTTTCTGTACTTGATAAAAGACAATTTGGAAATAAGCATTTCACTCCCTCTTTTCTGATTACCACTTAAGATCATTTCATGGTCCATTAATACTACCTTATTTTATATGATCCTGTGCACTAATGGTCTACTAATGCCCTTTTACAGGAAAAGAAAAGACTGTGTCACAACAGTTGCTAATGAATTCACAATCATTAAAAAGAATAGTAATATGGAAGCCACCATAATACTTTTTGCTGCTCCGTTTAACCAAAGCTTCGGGATTTGAAACAAAGGATGGAAAAGTAACAGGCTTTTGCCAAAAACTATCTGAAAACAAAAAAGGGTCATTCCTAATAAAATTAAAAAAACAATTCCCAGTAAAGTTGCAATGTTCTGTGCAATGAGCAGCTGTAACATCAGGGACAGAAACCCCTCTCAGGCAGGCCACAATTTGAACAGTGGTGTCCTGACAAGACACCTGGAAGCCTGGGAAGTGCTGGCAAGAGCCATTTGTGCTTAAGGCATGGTATAAATGACAGCTCATCCACTTCTGAAATGTCGCTAAGCACTTCCCATTTGTTGTACCAGTTCCTGAATTAGCTAGGAAGGAAGAGATGTTTGTAAGTGATTTTTTTTTCTCCCATACTCAAAGAACCAGTGACAACTCACTATTGTCAGTCAGTTCTTTTTGGTAGACCTTAGAAAAAAATCTTCCAGTCCTGGGAAGCATACTTTAGACCTTTATATTGTAAACTGCAGTCTATGATCATGCTTTTTCAGCTCTTACAGGTCAATAGTTTTAGCTTACAGAAAAAAAAAGTAAATCTTGAATGCTGTATGTGAGAAGTCTTTCAAGGCTGTTATTTCATCCATTAGAAAAGTGAGATTTACAGGCCTTATTAGATTTTCTCTAGAAACAATAGCATCTCAAGTAGCAGCAATAAGGGCAGAATAGGAACGTAAAAGTATAGCAACTTAAAAACTATGGAGTATGAAAAAGTGCATTTTGCTTCCCAAATTTTTTGCTTTTGTCTGTTTTGCTTTCAGCTGGCTACTGATTTACACTGCAAAGTAACCATTTCTCTGTACAGTTCAGATAGGTTTTGTGAGTTTCTAAAGCAAAATGGTCTAATAATCTATGTATATCTATACATAAATGAATTATTTAGAAATTCAAATATGAAGGTATCCCACTTTGCCTCTGAATATATTCAGTATTATTTGAATCTAATTCTCAGCTGCCCAAGAAAAGGAAACAAGCACTATTACTTTCTCTTATGTATGTGAACAAGGAATAAAAGTCATTATTAATCCATGATATAAAAATATAACACATATTGCCAGGTACCTCTAGTCTCTTGTTTGTTTGGAATATAGCACCTTGCACTTCTTTAATGAAATATATTTCTTATAATGAACTTATACCAAAACTTTTAAGCTTACATCTCTTACCTCACCAGGAAGTGTTTCATGTTGGATTTCTTTTACCATGACAGTCATATTCAAAATATGATCTCATGCCCTTAAAATAGTACCTAAAAGGTGTCACAGTTTCAAACTGTTTTCATAGAATTATAGAATCATTGAACAGTTTGCACTGGAAGGGACCTTCAAAGATCATGTAATTCTGACTCCCTTCCACTAGACCAGTTCCTCAGAGCCCTATCCAGCCTGACCCTGAACAGTTGTAATGATAGGACATCCACAGCTTCTCTGAGCAACCTGTTCCATTGTCTCAACACCCTTAGAAAAAATGTCTTCCTTATGTCTAATCTAAATCTGTCCTCTTTCAACTTAAAACCATTGGGCCTTGCCTTATCACTACAGACCATGGTAAAAGTCTCAATCATAGGCCCCTTCTAAGTATTGAAAGCCTGCAATAATGTCTTCATGGAGCCTTCTCTTCTCCAGAATGAACAAACTCAACGTTCTGAATCTTTCTTCATAAGAGAGATGTTCCATCCCACTGATCATTTTCATGGCCCTCCCCTGGACCTAATCTAAGTTTCATGCCTTTTTTGTGCTGGGAATCCCAGAGCTGCATGCAGTATTCCAAGCGGGGTCTCACGAGAGCAGAGGAGAGGGGCAGAATCACCTCCTTCAACTTGCTGGCAATACTTTTGATGCAGCCCAGGATACAACTGACTTTCTGAGCTGCAGGCGCACATTGCCAGCTCATGTTCCAATTTTCATCCATCAGTGTCCCCCAGTACTTCACAACAGGACTGCTCTCAATCTCTCTATCCACTACTCTGTATTGATACCAGGGATTGCTTCAACCCAAATGCAAGACCTTTCACTTGGCCTTGTTTAACTTCATGAGGTTTCCACCTCCTGAGTTTTTCAAGGTCCCTCTGGATGGTATCCCTTCCCTCCAGCATGTCGATCACACCACACAGGTTGGTATCATCTGCAAACTTCCTGAAGGTGCACCCAATCCCTTTGTTGGTATCATCAACAAAGATACTAAATGCTATTGAATGTATTTTGACACATTCAGCTGCTTTAATGTTCATTCAGGTGGAATCTTAGCAAAGTCTTTGATACCGTCTGCCGTGGCATTCTCCAGTGAATGGTGCTACATCCAGTTGGTAAACAGTCACTAGTGGAGTTCTCCAAGGCTCAGTATTGGGGCCAGTCCTATTTAATATCTTTATTGATGATCTGGTTGAGGGGATTTAGGGTACCCTCAGTGTGTTCTTGGACGATACTAAGTTGAAAGGGAGTGTTGATCAGCTGGAGGATAGGAAGGCTCTGCCGAGGGATCTAAACAGACTGGACTGATGGGCCAATGGTATGAGATTCAGTAAGGCAAAGTGCCGAGTGCTGCCCTTGGGTCACAAAAGCCCCATGGAACACTACAGATTCGGGGCAGAGTGGCTGGGAAGCTGCTTGGGGAAAAGGACCTGTGATATTGGTCAACAGCTGGCTGAACACGAGCCAGCAGTGTGTTCAGGTGGCCAGGAAGGCCAATGGCATCCTGGCTTGTATCAGAAATAGTGTGGCCAGCAGGATTAGGGCAGTGATTGTCTCCCTGTACTCGGCACTGGTGAGATCACACCTCAAGTCTTATGTCCAGTTCTGAGCCCCTCAATTCAAGAAAGATACTGAGATGCTGGAGCGCGTCCAGAGAAGGGCAACTAACCTAGTTAAGGATCTAGAGAATAAGTCTATGAGGAGGAGCTGAAGGAGCTGGGATTGTTTAGCCTGGAGCACAGGAGGCTCAAGGGAGACCTTATCACTCTCTACAGCTATCTGAAGGGAGGCTGTAACAAGGTGGAGGTCAGCCTCTTCTCCCAGGCAACTGGTGACAGGACAAGAAGAAACATCCTCAAGCTACACCAGAGGAAGTTCAGGATGGACATGAGGGAGAATTTCTTCACTGAAAGGGTGGTTAAGCATTGGAACGGGATGCCAATGGAGGTGATGGAGTCACTACTCCTGGAGGTGTTCAAGAAAGGACTGAATGTGGCATTAAGTGCTATGGTCTAGTTGAGAAGGTGGTGATCAGTCAAAGGTTGGACTCGTTCATCTTGGAGGTCTTTTCCAACCTAAATGATTCTGTGATTCGCTAATTTGAAATTTGAAAAAATCTGCAACTGTAATTAGTGCTGAATTTGTTGAGTTGTTATATTCTTTGTGAAAATTAGAACTGACATGAAGATTTTAAAGGGATCTTTATTATGTTGTTTTATCATTTTATACTTGTTCGAGTACATGAATGAAGGTTTCTGTACATCCCACTGCATTTGAAAAAGGTTTATTTTTGTTTGCTTGCATTTTGCAATGAAAAACTATCATCTCACCTGTGTTTATATTAATTACTATTTCTACTAATCCTGCTTAACTGTGATAAACATTATTGTAATAACCAGAGTAGTGCAGAACATAGTGAAATGGTTAAGGATCACTGCATTAGCATTGTCTATGGAGCAAACACTGTAAAATGTGAAGAAATGTAACATCATCTATTTTTTATATGATATCTAAAATTCTCTTAGCCATGTACAACATAGGAATTAAAAACAACATTCTGGATAAGCATCCTATGGGATCCTTTTCTAAAGAAAATACCAGTTGTTATATATGTCAGTGGTGGGAATGAAGATGAACAAAAATTAAACCAAGCTAAAATAAGTAAAATGGGCTTGTGTTTGATTTCAAAGGCCACATCATTTATACCTTGACAACCTGATAATAGAGGTGATTTCTACTGACTGCAGTTAAATATCTGGAAAGATTTGCCAGTTCCCCTGTGATTTCAGTTCCTGGCTTTACAGAAGTTAAGGTGGGAGTAAAGAAAATATTTGATTGCAATTTCTAGACGAACAAAGGTGACAGGCATTCCAATACATTCCTTAATCTTAGCACTAAAAGGTATGCAAACTCCTGCATCATCACAATGAACTTATTTTTTAAAAAATAAGCAAACAAACAAATACAAAGTATCTCCGTATATCTTTAGGGAAAATTTTCCAAAGCACCTGACCACAGAATCCCCGTCTGGCACATCACAGGTGTTCTGTGAGTAAAATGAGGTTTTTGTTATCTTGGACAGCCTATAAAATATATTACATAAACTCCAAAATTAGCCACATTTTACCATATGGGCTTGATTTTTTTTTGGCATAGAGTCTATTAAAAGTAAGTCTTGTAAACACAGTGCGAGATGAGAACTTGGAATTGCATTAATATGCAATTTTTTTGGGCAATGTGTTTAATCCTACTGGTACATGTATATTATTCTGAGAATTTTGCCAGGAGTCTTTAAGCAAAAGTTTAGGGAAACAAAGATAAAATGAGTTTATTCATCCTCATAAGAATAGAATAATTACTTTTTCCCATGCACAAGTAAATATACTTTAGCTGATTCTATTTCCTAATATACTTTGCTGCATTGCACTGTTCTTGTAATATCTTATGGACTTGTTTATAGCAGATATTGAATATTTTCAGAACTGTAGCCTGAATATTATTTCCACAGCTCTCGCACCCCTGAGCATATTTATGTTATTGTTAGGTTCACAGAAAATTGATTCTCAGTATAATACTCATCTAAAAGATATTATATATAATTCATCTCCTGGGCACTCTGAAGAAATACATTGCATATTGCCATACTGTATGATAGTTTTTACCTTTTCCCTGAACAAATAAGAACAAATAAAGAATCAATGATTTTGCTGTATCAAGTTTTTTCTTTCTGTTCCTTAAACAGCCACCATACTTTTCCTGCTAAAATTTCCTGCACTGAAATGTTGTGTTTCCCCATTTGAAACAGCATTCCTAACCCTCTCCTTCAGGTGCTGTACAACCAAAAAAGCTCTTTAATTTCCTCAGGTCAGGTTTGTTAGACTAAGGATGGAGTACCTCAGACAGGTATTTAATGTGTCACATTATACCTTTAAGTATTTGTAATTTTTCTGTAAACTTGTATACATTGATTTGTAATTTCGATCATGCTGTCTTGAGATAGCAACATGCCTTATTCATGAGTTCATTTTTCTTTAGCAACATAGAGTCATTCTAAAAAGAAAAGAAAATCTGAATTCCCTTATATAAAAAACACCCTCAAAATTTATGCCCAGGTAGGAAAACAGTTTAATAATATAACTCTATTTTATTAATATTGCAGATCAGAAAAGAAACTCTAGGACAGCAGCTCTGGAAGCATTTTACTCAATCAAACTTTGCTGTCTTAAATCTTCAAGGATTTATTCAGCCATAGTCCCAAGGAATTTAATAAATTTTTTTGAATAATTGATTTTTAAACTTAACCTTTATGAGCATCTTTCTGGACAGTCAGCAGAGCACCATCCTGTAAAACTTCATTTCTCATTAAGGTGAATTTTAGATTATTTTTGATAGAATAGAAGGAGCTAATAGTGAAGTCACTCTCCACCATAAGAAATCTGTAAGATAATGCACTTGCCCAAGAAGTGTGACATGGGTCATTCCCATTTTATGTCATTCCCAACATGACAGGGACTGAAACCCACATATTTTACCTTCCAGGACATTTTGTAAAAGCTGATTACTTAAATTCTTGGATAAGTGTTCTCAGAACTAGGCTGTCGTTTCAAAAAAATATCTTAAACAAAGGTAGCAATGGCACCACACTGGTGGTTTTGAGGGAAGTTATCATGATTACGAAGCTTTGAGCTGTAGTTCAGAGGCATCTTAACATGTTGTGTGAGTTTAGAATATACTTGCCAGATTGTATTCTTTCAGAGACTGTCCAAACTGTTAAATATGAAATATGCGACTAGGCACTCAGCCCAGACAGGACAGCAATGAGGGATGCAGTTTTCATTTCACAGCAGTATAGCCAGTTATATTTATTTTCTGGTGAAAGAGTCTGATAGGGGCTCTTGAGAATGTAAGTGGTTTGGTAGAGTTTTCATGAAACTGAGGTAAAATAAATGTACTGAAGTTATAAACTAGGCACTTAGGTGCTCTTTCAGATCTCGTGCTAGAACCATCAGAACAGCACCAAAACGAGATACAGCAAGGAAAAGTTTATTGACGCACAACAACTGACTGTAAAAGAGTACTGAAGTATCAATATTTACACTACTTTGTGTGAATTTCCAAAATGGACATAGTCTCTTAATAGCTAGTAAGCTCTATTTCCACTTGTCATGATCTGTTAGAGAAACCAGTTTTTTCATTATTTGGAATTTTGTTCGTTTGTTTGTTGTTTTTTTTTTTAATTATACCTTGCTTGTGAAGAATTATAGATATTCAACTACTGTCATTCTACAGAATGTACTGAAATATTACCAAGCATTAAATGTTAGTCTGATAGAGATGTTTTCCTCAACAATGTGTGAGATTTTAGAGTACCACTAAAGAGAAGAAATAGGAATTAAGTAAAATAGAAAGCCACTTCTATTATATTTCCATTATGTGATTTGGCTGAGTAAAATTGGACTAGAACTCATACCTTGCCCCAGAAGAATAATTTCATTCCTTGTGCTGAATGAAGTGCCTGCTGAGCTAAGTTTCTATTACTGTAGCCATGGCAATTCCTGTTTCAATGATTCAGGAGAATGGAATCCTCTCCTAAATACAAACTCCCTAAAGAAAATAAGAAATGCAATAACAACGACAATAATAACAAAACAATATTTATACTGTCTATTATAATTACATCTAAACTGCCTAGTTTCTTCTTTGATAATATCTACCTAAATATGACTGAATTTGTCTTTCTGTGAGGTGTTGAAAGCTGCATTACATGCAAAGAAATTACCATAATAATCATCAGAAACAGTAAGGCTGGTAACTGATGGTTGTTCTAGGGTCATAAGAAGCAACGATCTCAGGCATGAACATCTCGTCAACATGTCTTTATGCCTGTAGTAGCATAACCTTGGCATTACTAGGTCTGTCCTGGAAAGGTTGCTATGATACATAGTGATCCACATTTTACATAAAAGAAAAATTGATGATGTGTTAGAAAAATTCACAGAAAATCATTATTTTGCATAACCTGGTACAATAACATAGGATCAAATCTAATCTCACATATGAGATAAAAATAATGTGGTTTGGCAGAATTTAAGTCAGAGCACTTGGTTTAAATTTTAATAAGTATTTAGAGGATGAAGTTGCCCACTCATATACCAAATACATTGTTTTTTTAAAAACTGGAAACAGATAGGTTTTTTTCATGAGCACAGAATCAACTGTACAATCTCCCATTGCACTCATCCATCTTCACAATTTTGCAATTAACAATGAGAAAAAAAGTCCAACACATCACTTTGGAAGAAAAATTACTGTCTCTTATAAAACATATCTAGTGGGCCTATACTGAGAAAAGCAAATGAGATGCACTCAAACATGGACAGAGTGCTTGTGTAATCAATACATTCTTCTAATTAATAACTTGTATTTTAAGGAATTACACTTCCTTATCCTTGGTGCTCTTTAGTCTTGGATATATTGGGTACAGTTGGAAGTGAGTGTTTTCACTACTTCCAAACAAATCTGGTTTCTCACTGAATATTTGTCAACTAAAGTCACTGACAATACCCCATGGGATATAACCTCATTTAACCTCATATGAAGTTAAATCTTCTATTTTTACTTTTTTTTTTTAACAGGAATTTTACAGTTGTTAATTCAAAAATCATTGTTGTTACTATACGACCTGAGCCCAAAACTACGGATTCTTTCCTGGAGATAGAACTGGCCCATCTGTCTAATGTAAGTACAAGGATAGTTGATATGCTCTTACGAGAGTATATGTCAGATCATATGAGAGAAAAAAGAGACATTGTTTTAAAAAACAGTTAATAAAACCTAGTTTAACTTCTGAAATTTAACCTCGGGAACAGTCTAACAGTCTTTGAGGGTAGTGTGTACTTGTTTCATGAATGTGTGTATGCAAAACAAAATTAATTGTTGTTTTGTGTTTTTTGAAGTTTTCATTTAAACAGCAATTTCTACTGAAAAGTTTCCATTAAATGCTTTGATGGTTACAATTGGAAATGTAGTACTGTGCCGAATGCTTAATTTTTTGCTACCTGCATAGGTCATAGAGCTACATAGTTCTTCAGGTCTTTTCTTCTTTGCTTTCATTATTTCGTACTAAAAAACCAGGTTTTACTTATTTTAGCAGACTTTGAAAAAAATGCTCTGGTCCCAATTTAACTTACAGTTCTTATAAATATTTGAGATTTTTTGTGCAATCGTTAAAACTTTTGAGGCTTTAATCTCACATTAAAAATGTTTTAGATCTGAAAAAAAAAGGAACTTTATTTCCAAATATATGAAAAATATGAAGAGTTTTTCTTCTGCTGTTAGTAATCTCCAACAGTCACAGGGATGTACAGTATTAGGAAAATAATGTTAAATAACAAGCATAAAAGTAATTTATGTGAAGGCACAGCATATGAACTCTGTCTGTTTATGTTATTAAGAGCTAGACTTTACTTTGAATAAAACCATAAAGGGTCAATTAGAAAAAACAGTTACTAACGCTTTTGAAAATACTATTGTTATGCAAAAATCTTTAAAGCTCTGGGGTTTTTAGTTATAAACAGTTATTGAAGTGGTCATATAGATGCAATTCAACTGGAGAATTTCCAAATATTTCAGTCAGTAGCAAAATTGGATTAGTGACTCTGGGCAAAAGTATGAAGCAAACTTTTTGAACTCTAGACCTTTAATTAACATTTTACTCAAGGTTAGAAGAAACTATTTTGCCCTCAATGGTTATTATGACCTGCCATTCTGTTCCCAGAAAAGTGCTAATGCAAAGAACATCTCAGCAAAACTTAGGCAGAAAAAAGGAAGAGAGGAATATAAACTGACCTGACTCCTTACCTTTCAATAAGATCAGAAGTTTATTGACAAAGAATTGTGGAGATTTGGGGGTTTGTGGGTCTCTGTTTAACATGCTTTATGGTGGGTAGATTTCATTTGCTGTTTCATTTCATTTTGTTTCCAACCTAAGTTATATCATATATATTAAGAGAAAATATCGGTCATTAACATAACTTTCCTTCCTGTCAGATATTTTGCTAAAAATGAAAAAAATATTTGCTGGAGTAAACCACAAATTAATCCTGTATATCAAGTCAAAAACCCATCACTTTTGAAATAAAATACTCGTTTTGATCTTACTAAGATCATTATTAGGAAGAATTTATGGTAATTTTCGTTGCTAGATTGTATGATCTATTATTTCAACAGTGATTGGTGGGCTACTTAAATGAATCGCAAACTATGATATTTATATTTCGAAATTGCAATTACTATTTACAAAAGTGTAGGGTAGCAGGTAAGAAAAAAAGTTCTCATTAATTTGCTCACTTATGCTAGAAAAGAAATTAAACAATTATAAAAGAAAATAATACCAATAAACAATGTATCAGCATTGAAAATATTTTTAGGCCAAACACAACCTATTAATAGAAGCACAACATGGGCAAGGCTAGACTAAGAAAAGGCTGAACTGCTGTCCCCAGAAGATGAAATTCTAGAAAATTCGTAGAGAGGAATTTTTTTTTTTTAATCCATCCCTTTGGTTAATTTACAGAGCAAGTTTTTGCCAAGTTTGAAAATCTTGCAAATGAAACTTCATTGTTACAAAAGTTCAGATTAGAGACACCAACTGTCACCTAGCTTTGGCAACCTTTCAGTAGCTGAATATTAATTAATATTGTATTAGCTCGTGTCTTGACAAAGCAAAATGACAGTAACCTTGCCAATACATATCAGACTCTTTTTTTTTCTTTTTGGCTCACTTTTTGTCCTATAATATAATCCAGAGAAGCATCAAGAGCTTGTATAAAGTTTTCATCCCTTAAATTAATTTTACCTACATACTATATTTATATAGACTCCTAATCCACCTGCATATATGAGTTGGACTGGCAGATACAATAATATATTGCTCTAGAAAATCTATGAATACGGATCAGTTTTACAGTTTTAATATCTTTAAACATTTGGTGATTTTTGTTCAAGTCCTAGTCTTCATAATGACATTTCAATTATAATATATTACCATAGAAAAAGCTTTATGTTGCATACAGAAAGATAAAACTACTGTTAATATATCTTTAGTGTTTGAACATTACATAATAATGGCTCACAGATTAACCCTTATGTCAGTTAAATAGATTAATTATTAAACAGAAAATAAAATACATTCTCTTTCATCTGATTTTTTTGAAGATCTCCTTGTTATATTTGTTCCTTTCAAAACTTTGTTCTTGAAATTTTACTTATTATTCAGAACAGTTTGTTTGCAAATTGATTTAATGACTAATTTTATAAGCATTTTCTAGACCATGCCTACTAATATATAGGACGATATTCACACATTTGGTTTTTTACCTCCTTATCCATTGACTAAATTAAGTAGATAAGAGAGTATGAAAAGACTTAAAAGAGATAAAAAGAGTTAATATGACTAAGTAAAATTAGCCTTTAAATATTAATTTATTCAAGATCTTTAATGATTTCTTCATTTCATATCAAAACTAACCAGTTTATTAATAAAACTGGAGGATGATTTTTTGGAGGAAGTGCAAATCACAATTACATGTATTGTTTGAAGATTGTAGATAAATTCAAATACAATAGAGAGTTGACCAGAGTGGAATGTGGGTTGCAATGCATAACTTAGAGCACATGATATTTTGTCTTGTGCACTATGAACATGTAGATGACTGTGACCACAATTTTCCAGTAGTTTGGTTAAAGAGACACCAAAGCAATCTTTAAAAAAATGCACAACTCAAACAAAATCCTATTTGCTCCGTAGAGAATATGAACTCTCACCTTCTGACAGTACAGAAGTTTACTCCAGGGATACTAAAGTAATGAGCCAGCAGTAGCATAGAACATCAAGCTTTCAATGAGACTGAAAACCCTGGCTACAAAACACAGTTGGCACTGTGCTGGGTAGCTGTCCAAGTTGCCAATCACATCTGGAAAATTCAATTTTATCTGCTAGGCAGAGATACGTACAAGTAGGCACACACACATATGTCCAAGTAATGAGATATCCAAGTAATGTACTGTAATGTATAAATCAATACTACAGTAGTCATAAATGTTAATGGACGCAATAGCTGCTTCCTTCACTGCAGCTGAGTAATTAACTGGTAAGAGCACTGCCCCCACAAAGGGTGGTGGCTGTTGGAGGCAGCTCAACAGCAGCCGTGTGAGGAGGGATCGCCAAGAGGCCAGACCCAGAAGTACTGTGAAAAAGGGAGCAACAGATTAAGAGCAAAGAAGCATACACAGAGACAGGCTTCTTGTGGTCCTCGCAGTACTTGAAGGGTGTTCGATCAGGATATCAAAAGAGGAAGAAGTTCTGAAAGGCTGCTGTACCCTGGCAAGCTACCAGTCCTGATGGAGCAAACCTTCATACCCTTCTTAAGGAATGGAAGTAATATTTATCCCACTTTCCATGTTTCTGCTTAATCTCTCATTAGTGACTGCAATGGCCAAACATACTGTTTTGTTTTTTTAATTTGAATACATTTCAAAGAGATTGAAGTGTGTGATCTGACAGCAGTTCTATCGTGTTTCAGTTTTCTGCAAAGGCCTTTGTTTCCCTCTATTTTGTAGATTTCTTTATAATGGACATTTTTTCTGAAAATGTTTTTGAATTCATTCTCCTTGAACTGTGGGAATACCAAGCATAAACTGTATGATGTCCACTGCTAGGAGAGAGGTCTTAGATCTGAGAGATGCAAAGCCTTATTATGATGCAGCTATAGGAGTACTTTTTTAATATGCATATAGCTATATCAGATTGCAAATAGAACTTCTTCACCCAGACTTAGGATACAAATTAATACTCTTTATAAAATTACATTTTAAAGAAAAGTTAATTCTGCATCGACATTCTGTTTTCCCTAATTCTTACCTTTCTATATCCTTTTCCATCTATCTATCTGAAAGCTCTTGCCTAATGATGCAGGACCTGGTCTCTGAATCTCAACTGGCCTGTTATCCAGTGCTTTGTTCTGTGCCCTCTTCCCCTTCCTCTTCTTTATCTTATAAATACTTCAGGGAATGGAGCATTCTTTATTTATGTTTGTATAGTTCTATGTAAATATAAAGTGCCATAAGTATATGTTGGTTTCAAATATTTATACTCTACTCATGAAATTCAATGCAGTCAGCAAAATACTGAACCAGAGATTCAAAGTTTCCCTAAATGCCTCTCTCACAAGCATCTCCAGAAGGACCTTTTTTATCTTTGACAAAGAGGTGGATGGAATGATTTAAAAATTTAATAGATTTTTACTTCACAGGTTGCCATGTTTTTTTTCTAAAAATAAAACACTTTTGAGAATGAAATATTAAGGTGTGCTTTGTTTATATGAAACTACTTTTATATCTATTGCATCTACACTGTTCACTAACATCGATATACAAAAATAGTATTTGTTTCTTCAAACCACTTTTCAATTTTTTTAGAAAATATATTTTTATTCTGTACTTTATATAATTTGTTTATATAGTTCTGATTTCTGGGAATACCCAGAGCTTATGATGAACAGGACTATGGTTTTGCAGTTTTAAGTGCCTCTAAGTCAATCTGAGTGAATTTTAATTTTGTCTCAACTCTTCCTAGGCAGCAAAATAAACATGAGTAATAATACTTTTCAATTTCCTGAAACATTCCCCATAGTTCAATGATATGTAATAAACATAGGTTCTCGTCCTGTTCTAAATCAAATAAGAAATTTTCCATTGTTTTTGAAGAGATTGGAGCTGAGATTGTAAAGCTCAACCACATCAGAGATAATATATATATTTTGAGCAAAAAGCTCCACTGATTTAGGACACAATTGACAAATCCTTTTAATATTGAATGTGGGGTCATCTGAAAACTTGGCCTCCAAACATTTTACCCAACATACGCATAAAATTTTTAAAGGCATGACTGGTTTTGACATCCAAGTTCCTAAGGTGTCTAAAGTTCTGCTTCTAAACACACCAGAAATGTTCAGTCAAGTCTCTTAACAGATTAACTTTTATCTCATATTTCACTTCTACCGGGGTATGCCAAATAGACAACTTTATGCTTACCTTGTCTAAGCAGAGAACACACAAGTAGTCTGCTCTTAGGTTCAAGTGCTTTAAAATACTCTATAAGAATTAAGCTTAAGCTTTTGCCACTTCAGTGGTATCAATTCATCAGAGTATAAGGATAATCTTGTAGGAGGAGACTCAAATAAATTTTTAGATACAGCACGACACAGATTTTTTGTATACCAGTAACTAATAGGTTTGTTTGTTTTCTTTTAGGGCACATTGAATCCCTACTGTGTGCTCTGGGATGATTCAAGAATGTAAGTGACAGATGTTTGCTTCTATTGCTATGGCTCAAATATTACAAAGTACCTAATGATATTTAAGTAGTTGGTCAGTAAATGGGTGGTATGAGGGCAGAGAAAAGAAACCTTTGACCGAGTGAAAGTACTGGATTCTCCAGTCACTTGGCTTCCTTTCTGCCGCTATGTAAATTGAAATAATACAATATCTCACCAGGAAGAGATTACTCACATAGTAATTTTAATCTCCTCTCTCAAGATTAAAATGAGGATGTCTAAGAACTGTAGTTCCTTGATGGTAGTTGCTGGGCAACAAGCAAGTGGGTAAACGATGAGACAAATAACTGAGGAAGGCTCCCATTTCTGTTACTGCAGGGAAAAATATAATTTTTAAGTGTGATCCCCACAGCAATCTTCATTTTAGTTGATTGAAATTTTCATTTTAGTTTATTAAAATAATAGCTGTATACTAAGCAGTGAAAGCTTACTATCAGTCTTCTTCTGTTTTTTTTAGTGTGTGTCCCTTCTATAGCAAAAAAGAAAATGTTAATGTATGAAAGTAAAGCAGTAAAATCAGTGTGGTTAAAAAAGAATCCCAAGTTTATGCAGTTGTAATTTGCTGAATTAATCTTTCACAGTAAATCTCCCATTAAAGTCAAGGTGAATTTTGCATACATGCAGATTAAGTGTTTCAAGAAGTATCCCTATATGGTTGTCATATTATTTTAAAGTTGATGTTGTGCTTCTTATCCAGGTATATTTTATATGTCTTATTATACAGACTCATCTGCGGTGTTAGAAATTATATGACTGTGATTTTGTGTGTACTTTCATCCTTGAGCTTGGGTTTACATCAGTACACGGGTGGCTGAGAAACAATATTATAGTACAGAAATGAGAAACTTTGGACATGATACTAGAAATCATTCCAAATACAAGTAATACCATGGTCTGTGCCTCTGCAAAAGAATCATAATGCCATTATTTGCCAGCAACACCATAGTATGCAATTTCTATGAAATCTGTGGGATTAAGTACATGAAAGACTTGATATTATGCATTATTATGAGCACATGGAATGCAAAAGATTTTGAACGAGTTATTTGTTTCCTCTTTACAAAGTTTTGCTTACACAGGAGTGGTTTTCAGTATGCGTTGCTTTAAGCACTGTGTATTTAGAGCACAGACTCTGATATCACTGTTCAAGTCCACAGTATCAGGGGCACATGTACATGAAATTAGACTACTAAAAAAAACCATGCTGTGGATTTAAGAACATGATTAAAAGATTTCATGCAGGTATTTGGGACGAATGTGTGAAGTAATTGCAAACAAATATATTTTGTCCTCACCACTTGTTTTGCAGGTATTTGTCTTAGTATTGCTTATAGAGAAGTTCAGTGGTACCTATAAGTACTGTTTTCAATATGCTTGGAATCTGAATGGAAAAGCAAACTTTTGAAACATCTAAAATTGATGTAAAACTTACGTAAAATAGCCTGAGGTTTTGAGGGAGAAACAAATATATCCTTTGTGCTGAAGGATATATTTTCTAGGCATATTAGTGTAGCCATTGAAGGTGGTAAAATAATTTAAGATTGGAGGTATTCTTGAAGATGTATCCATTTTTAAAAGTGATATAAGCCCTCAAATATTCTCAATAAGATGTGATGCATCTGTAAGATCTGCATGGACACCACTGTGTTTGACACGTGTATGTGTGCTATTGTATGAGAATGTGACACTCTCTCTTACCTGAGTATGCAATGGCAAGAGCAAACTTCTACTTTTTTCCTCCATCCCTTTGGAAAAAAACATCTATAGTGTTGGCTGTGGGAGCATAAGCTTATTCAAAACTTTATTTTTGTAATGCTGTTTCCTTTTGGTTTGGACCATTTTATTTGTATTTGTATTTAGTCAGGAATATTTCAGAATTTGTATTCTGACACTGAGTTTTAAATTATGAAAGCTCTATAATGATGACTCAGTTCCTATTATTTAACAATCTTAAAAAAGAAATAGTTAGGTGCCCACTATTATATTGGATTCTTGGTGGCTTGTTTTCTTTTTTTTTTCCCCACTTTTTTCTAAGCCTCAGGAATTAGTCATCCTCAGCAGCAGGCAACTGGATTTGATGGGTTAATAGCCTAATTCATTGCAAATCCTACAGAGCTGTGATGTACTCATATCATTCCAAATGGAGTAATTTTTGCATAACCAAGATTTAGCAAGTATTTGGGAATAAACCCAACAAAAAGTAGCCCTCTTTTAGTTGAAGGTGTTTAACTAATCAAGTGTCTGTTGTGAGTCAGGTTTTCTAAATTAAGTGGTTTTCAGATGAATCCTGTGTTAGCTTTTATCATCAGCATACAGTCAGCAGTAACCTCTAATGGGTTTTGCCATCTTTTTACCCACTTCTACATCTTTATCTGCATGCCTTGCAAGTTCATATTTGGTAAATGATACTCATCTTGTCAGTTTAATACTTCTCCAGCAGCAAGGAAAGCTTTGTCTATCTGGATTTTGGCCATGCTTTTCAGGAAATGAAACAATGATTACAGTTCCCTGACATCTATCCTTCAAGAAAGTTCTGGATCTGTGAGCTCTTAAATCACATCAAATCATCAAGGTTATCCTACTGCCATGGTCACCCTAACTTTGGCAAAAGCAGCTTTAATCTATTCCATCCATGAGATATGGTGATTCTTCCCTCTGATTGTGTTTTAGTTTTTTCATTCATCAAGCTGGCAGGCTTGTGCCCTTTCTGTAGGCAGCTAGTCAAATATGTGTACAATATTGAGACAGTGCAACTAAAGAATAAGATATTATGTCATGTATTAAACTCAATCCAATAATTCAGCATTTTATTTCAGTTGATTATGCCAAAATATAGAGCACACCTGACTGTGTTGATTGAAACCAGGCTTTTTATGAATTCTTGTGCTTCCTTTGATACTTCCAGCTTTCCTACACAAAGCTGGTAGCATGAGTTGTATGTAAGAGGTGACTTTTCCCTCTCAGAAATCTGAGCGATATCTTCATCTATTCATTTCAGAAAATGTATTTAAATGTTGCCTTCAGTAAAGTCTTAGGATGCTGAATGCTTCTCCTTCTAGTGCGGGGAAAATGTATGGAATATTTGTAATTAACATTCCCAGGAGAAACAATTTTGTTCCTTAAACCAACCAACTAAAAACTCCAGAAAGAGTTATGTCTTTTTTGCTTTGCTCAGATAGTTTGTCTGAGCAAACTATCCCTGCTGTCAGGAACTGTTTGTGATACATTAATTCCAGTGGTTTAGTCTACAAAGAGAAAGAAAAGGAGTTAATCAGGTACTAGGGCTGATTTTCCTACCCCACAGAAGTGATTTTAAAGATTTTAAGATGAAACAAAACTTGAAAGTTTTTCTTTTGTCCCTCCTACCTTTCTGGAAAGTAAAAGAAGACAGTCTCAACTAGCAAGTGATCCAATAGTTAGATGCATTTACTTGGGGACCTCAGGGACTGTCACATCAATTTTTTCTTTATATAAGTTAATTGAGTTCGAAATACACTTTTCAGCCTTACAGGAGCAGCCAATGCCCACTGAGCTGTCAGCTTCTCTGGAGTGTGTTACTCACAATGTGTCCTGCTGGAACTCTGCCATATTATTTAGGAAAATATTCATGGGTTGGGAAGCTGATTCCCAGCACCTCTCTATTTAATTTTACCACTGTTTCTATGTATTTGTGACCATACAAAACCTAAATCTTAACCATATCACTGTCAGGTTTTTTTTCCTAGCACTGTTTTGTTTTATGTAAGTCTGGGTAAGGCTCTGTAAGCCCAAGTGATCAAAGAATCCTTATATGCATGTATACATTTTCATTTAAAGAATGCCATTTTTTGTGGCAGTCCAGACAGTTCTCTTGAACTTTTTTGCCATCTCTGATGTTTATGTCTGTGATAGGTGCCATAACAGACAGTCTGGATGCTGTGGTTTAACTCCAGCCAGCAACCAGGCACTATGCAGCCACTAGCTCACTCTCCCACCAGTAGGATTGGGAAGAATATCAGAAAGGTAAAGCTACAAAATGTATGGGTTGAGATAAAGGCAGTTTAATATGTAAATCAAAAGCCATGCACGCAAGCAAAACAAAACAAGGAATTAATGCACTGCTTCCCATGGGCAGGCAGATGTTTAGACATCTCCAGGAGAGCAAATGTATCATGGACAATGGTCACTTGGATTTATCCATCACTTTCCCCTTCTTCCCCCACTTTATATATGAGCATGATGTCATATGGCATGGAATATCCCTTTGGTCAGTTTGGGTGACCTGTCCTGGCTGTGTCTCCTCCTGGTCTGCCATACACCCTCAACTTCCTTGCCACTGTGGCAGTATGAAAAGCAGAAAAGACTTACACAGTGCTCTGTGTAAGCACTGCTCAGCAATAACAAAAACATCTCTATATTATCAACCCTGCATTCCGCACAAATACAAAACATAACCCCATACTAGCCACTATGAAGAAAATGAACTCTACTTCAGCCAAAAAGCAGCACTATGGATCTCTAGGATCCGTGAAACTTTGGCCTGACAATGCAGCTGGTGCTTGTTCTTTTAGAAATGTGTTGGACATAATGTGGGCACAGGTGTTCTCCACAGGATAGAGTCAGTTGTTGCTGGTGTGCTCCACATCTGTATGCAGTGCAACATGACATCTCACAGCACTGGGTAGGAAAGGGATTTAGTATTCTGAGAGTCTTTTCTGCCAGTTGCTGCAGAAGGATAACAGTATGACAGCATTTTATTCGTCCATATGTGTGCTCATAGTAGTTTGTGCCTGCTGACTATACGGTTGGCAGAACTACAATGCAATTAGCTGGAATTTTTAATATTGCAGGAATTTTGACCTGACTCAGTTTTAGTTTAGGACAAATGATAGGTCTGTTCTATTTTTTTCTCCCACTGCTATACAAATTTACATTGGTAGTGGTTTAGATTTGGTACCCTAAAGTTATGTGGAATTATGAAT